CCTGAGGGATTTGCCCACTTACAAATCCATTCCTCAGCAGGAATTCTGCTTTTTCAAGCTTTCATTTGGCACCACCCTCCACACCACCATCCTTTTACAGATGTTCTCTTCAAAATACACATCTTGTGAGAATCCTTCCTACACATCTCCTACCCAAATATTACTCACTCTTTGAAATACACATGTGCTGCACATGCCTCTGCCACTAAGCCAGTCTATACTACTCTCTTTTGTCTTTACCATGAGCTCACCTGCCTTACACTGTTATATATCTACTAGAGGCCCGGTGCACAAAATTTGTGCACAGTGGGGGGGTGTTGTCCCTCAGCCCAGCCTGTACCCTCTCCAATTTTTGGACCTCTAGAGGGATGTCCAACTGCCCCTCTCACAATCCAGGACTGCTGGCTCCCAACTGCTCACCTGCCTGCCTGCCTTATTGCCCCTAACCACTTCTGCCTGCCAGCCTGATCACCCCTTAACCACTCCCCTGCCAGCCTGATTGACACCTAACTGCTCCCCTGCCTGCCCAATTGCCCCTAACTGCCCTCCCCTGCCAGCCTGGTCACCCTAACTGCCCCCCCTCTCCCCTCCTGCAGGCCTGATCCTCTGAACTTCCCTGCCCTGCATGTCTAGTCCCTCCCAACTGCCCTCCCCTGCCAGCCTGGTCCCCTCAACTGCCTTTCTCTGCAGGCCTGGTCGCTCCCAACTGCCCTCCACTCAGGCCTGGTCCCCCCTCCTCCCCAATTGCCCTCCCTTGCAGGCCTTATCCCTCCTAACTGCCCTCCCCTGCTGGCCATCTTGTGGTGGCCATATATATAGTATCCACATGGGAAAGCCATCTTTGACCCCATGGGGCAGCCATCTTGTGTGTTGGAGTGATGGTCAATTTGCACATTACTCTTTCATTGGATAGGATTCCTTTTACATTGTCTTTTCAATAAGTTCCCTAAAGGAGTCATATTGTATTTCTGGTCTGTTAGTCGCAGTTTCCACAACATGAGGTATGTAAACTATATTGTTGTATTGAGAGTCAAATGAGATCAGTGTGAAAGCACCTTCACCTCGTATAGAACCTGGCATCCAGTTAAGTGCTCAGAAAAGTATAATATTTCTATAGAAGCAAACATTCTAGAAGCCATAGAAAGTGCTTAATGAATCTCTAAATACAGTAGTTATATACTGGAGAGAGTGTGCATTTGGACTAGCTTACTTATCTGGAGCTGAGAGCAAAGAAAACCTTCCATTAGAAATCCTACACCAATGAACACACCTTCATGCTAGAGTAAATCCAGGAGCCTGGGTGTCACATTTCCTCAAAGTGTGCTTATGCAAACATTTCTGCATTTGACACGTTAATGCACCCCAATAAAGTCAACTAAAACTTTAAAAGTAAATATTTTTTAAGTTTGGGGACCAAGAAAGGATTTCCAACTTGTAAATTTTTTCAGATAAAGATATCTGAAAGTTGTACTACTAACTAACATCACTATCATTTTATAAAAAATAACCAAAGGAAGGACATAAAATAAGAATAAAAAGAAGTTGCCTAGCTGGTGTGGCTCAGTGCTTGAGCATTGTCCTATGAACCAGGAGGTCATGGTTCACTTCCTGGTCAGGATACATGCCCTGGTTTCAGGCTTAATTCCTAGTAGGGGACATGCAGGAGGCAGCATATCAATGTGTCTCTCTCATCACTGATGTTTCTCTATCTATCTATCTATCTATCTATCTATCTATCTATCTATCTATTTCTATCCCTCTTTTTCTCCTTCTATCTTCTTCTCTCTCTAAAATAAATTAAGTCATATTTTTTAAAAAACCAGTTGATAACGGAAAAAAACTATTGAAACCTGTAAAGAATTTTTGTGAGTTTATTTGAGCCAAACTGTCAACATATGCTGGGAAGCAGAACCTCAATGGACTGAGATAATGCTCCAGAGGATGCAGGGTTACATCTATATTTATACTTTGCAATCAAAGGAAAGGGACCTAAGTGGGTTACATGAAATTTATTGGTGATAGATTAGGAAGGTGGGACAGAACAAAACGGGGAAACCTCTGGGATAGGATAAAAGGTGAAATGATGAACATGTGCTTCTTTTACAGAGATGGATACAGGATACATTAATGTAATTAACAGTCGACAATTAACTTGATAACAATAACAACGAGTGAATGAATGTCTTGAGGCCATTTGTTGTGCCCTGAGGAGGTCAGGGTAAAAAGGAAGTTACAAGTTACCCAGACATTTCACAGATATGTTGTCTTAGAAGCAAAAAGGCAAATGGGCTCAGTAAAGAAGATCTAAGTTGATCTTTGTCAGGTGAAATATCAATCTAGGACATGACTACCCACTATAACCTGTTTGTAGTTAGATATTTAATTTTCAAACCATCTTTTGTGGTTGTTTTAAGTCTCTGAGTTTGCAAGACTGCCACACAAGCCTCCCCTGAGCTTGTCAGGTTAGCATGTGGCTCTTTTCATTCACACAGTTAATAAATAGCTTGATAATGACACTTTGCCCACTCTGACCCAATTTAGAAGGCTGCCAATAGGATAAGACATAAGTATGCTACACTCTGCTTTCTGGGGTCACAGCTGTGTCTTCCCTAAGAGCTTTTTCTATCAGCCACTGGAGGAAAGACTGATGTGAGAAGTCAATACCAGTGCTATGAGGGCCTGGCTTTTCAGAGCCTTGTTTCAGGTCCTGTGAGAGAAGTGAGTGGGGCATGGTATACTGAGCAGCCCAGTTTTGGCTTTGGGCCAGGCACTGAGTAGCAAACAAGAAGGAACACATTCCAGGAAGGCAAAAAGCCCTTCCAATGTGAAGGTAGCCCAGGCAAGAAGAGCCTGCTGGGTACTAGATGCTCTTTGGCTCTGTGGAGGTCAGGCACAAGAGGGATGGATTCAGGTTTCTGGATTACCATTTCAGAGGCTTCCCCACTGACAAATCAGATGTAACTCTTAAACTGGAATCCTCTCTGCCCTGGGGTCCAATGCCTTATCTCTATCTGAAGGAAGAGGGGAAAAGTGTTGTTACCTCCTGAAATCATACTCTGCAGGAGTCAGATTTCTGTAATTCTGTATCCTGAGTAAAAGGAGAGGCTACTGACAATGAGGGCCTTCCTCTGGGCTGCACAAGAAGAGAAAGAGAAAAAAACTAAAGGGTTCAGGAAAGAAATGGTCACATGAGCCTGTCGGATAGGCAGTGCAATGGACTTGGACCAGGCCTGGGCTCCTTTTCACCCCAAAAGGGGACAGAAGGAGTGTTTCTTTAAGAAGAATAAAGTCTGTCCCTCACCACCTGGACTCCAGTTCCTGTTGGACTTTGCTGCCACCTAGTGGCTTAGTTGCATTTCTTCCCCTCACACATAGACCTGGCCTGTCTTATCTTTCTTTGCCTTAGTATCATCCTCTGATTCTGTGGCCCAGGAGCTAGGAGAGCAGAGCAGCACAGATTCACGACCTCACCCACCTTGATAAGTGTCCTAATGCCATGACCAGCAGGTAGGAGGGCCAGGGCTGGAATGGCTGGGCACATGGGTGGAGACAGTGAGGATGGGAGCAATGTCTTGCTCACACGACTTCTCCTGCAAGATGCAGTTTTCCCCAGCTCTCCTCATTCTTGAATGCCCTTTTCATTAGAACTCCTACTTTTTCCATTACCCTTCCTCATACCTGGCTAAAGCACATGTTGCAAAACTGAAGCTCCTGCATTATTATTATTAAACTTTTCCTTTTGTCTGTATTTGCCACAACTTTTAAAGCAGAATGTGATGAGCACTGCACTTCTATTCACAAAACTTGCTCTGAGTTACTTTCAAACAGTTTTACAACATGGCTTTACAACATGCCTAAGTAGCTTATATTTCTGCTATGCTGCACAATTCTTTTTTTGGAGACAAACTCTATGGACAGTTACTACCCTGTTTCCCTGAAAATAAGACAGTGTCTTATATTAATTTTTGCTCCCAAAGATGCACTAGGTATTATTTTCAGGGGGGTGTCTTATTTTTCCATGAAAAAGAATACAGTACACATTTATTGTTAAATGAAAATAAAGTAAATTTATTACCTGTATACGGTATGGTAGTACAGTAGTTGTCAACTTATAGGTTTCCTTCTGAGTGAAATATAAGGCATCCCCCCGAAAATAAGGCCCGCTCCTTCACCCCCCCCCCCCCCCCGCTGGCTCTGTCTCAGAATGAAAATTAATTTACCGTAAACTCGTCGCTAGGGCCACCCTGACTGGCGTCTAGCAACCAGTGACGTCACTGCTGTGTGGAGGCAGAGCAGAGGTCAGAGTGAGCGGTGAGTGCAGGGTGGGAGAGAGGAGGAGACTTTTGCAGATGCCTGTAGAAGAACAGGAGGATTAGAGCTGATGGGACGCAGAGAAGGTGGTGAGTGCTGGTCTGTCTCTGGTGACACTACCTGATGCTCACAGCCGCCCTCATGATGACTGAAGGTTCTCAGTCAGTGGCAGACCCTGCTCCAGCCCAGATCCAGGCCCCAGCAAGCCCAGTGACAGTCCCCAGACAGGCCCCAGGGGATAAAGATCTGATAAAAGGGTAGGGGGGATGTCTGGTGAAAGTGTTCAGTGGCACAGGGGTGGGGGGAGGGGGATCACTTAAAATGACACAGGAAGATCAGAAGGGGCAATCAAAATGACACAGGAGGATCAAAGGGGGTTACTAAAATGGTAATCCCCCTCTGATTCTCCTGTGCCATTTTGATTCCCCCTTCTGATCCCCCCTGTAAGCTGGTTCTAAAAACCTGGCTTTTTGTCTGAGTTCAAAAATTGTAGGAGCTTTGTAAACAGGTACTTCAGATCACTCATTGGAGGAAGGAGAAGACTTGGGGGAAGAGGAGGGATTTGGAATGTTTTCCTTCATAGTCAGTCCCAGCACAACGGCAGCATCAGAAACCAGGGGGACCATTGATGGAACCTTAGCACCCAAGGCATTCTTCTTGGAAGAGTGAGGACAAAGGCCAAGTGGATGTTACCTGCATAGGAGAGATGCCTAGATCAGAGAAAGGGCTTTGAAGGTAGTTAAGTAGGTCACTGAAACCTCCCACCATCATCCATAAAGTGGGTCAGGTGGGATCTGTGTACCCCACATATTCTGCCCAATCTTGTTGGGGCCATGAAGCCAGTTTATCAAGGTTAAGGCCAATTCAGCCAAGGTAATAAGCAGCCTGGCTGTAGGTTTTGGTCCCAGTCTTTAGCCCTGAATCCCAGAGGCATTGGGAAGATAAAAGGCATCACCTGTGCTTAGGAGTTGGGCCATCCCGATTCAGGGAGCATAACTGCTGTTCCAGCCGGGAAATACAGAATGCCAGATAAGATGAGGACATGACCAAGAAGCAGATCCTGGAGGAAAAGGAGGCAAGAGTTTTTTTCATCTAGAAAAAGGATAGTTTTAGAGGCTTAGCAAAAGTAGGAGTGGGACTAAGCTGCTCTTTCAATTCTTAATTGGAAGAATTAAAGAACCCTTTACCCTGCAGCCATGTTCAAGCCTGGGTATCTTTCAAGCCACATGTGGGTCCTGAGACTCATCTCCATGGCGGTGTCCTAAAAGCTCAGCAGGTGTTCTGGGTTCTTCAGCTGATCCCACCTTCCCTCTGACCAGCCACCTTGGTCCTGCACTTCCTCTGGGAGACTATTATCCCCTAAGGTGGTAGGCCCTAGTCAGCAGAGCCAGAGGATGCTAATGAGGTAAGGTGAGAGGAACTAGGGACTGGTGTTCATGAAGTATCCCACTATGCTCACTATCTGCTGGTCCTCAGGCAGAGTTACAGATGAGTCTGGGGTATCAGAAACTGCCCTAATGGTGGGCAGCAAGAAGGCCATGGCTTTCCTAGTCTACCTGATGGCCCTCGCAATTTTGCCAGCCTTCTCCAATCCTATACAACTTTTCCTTTTCTCAACAGTTTCATCTCCTGCCCCTCCCTATTGCACAAGCTTAACCCTAAATTACAAGATTGTAAAAATAAAACTGGAACTAATTTCACCACAGAAGGGCCTGCCTGCCATGTGACCTCCAGACACTACCCAGAAGCTTGCAGTTGACTCAGAATCTTCTTACTCTGGACAGTGACCTCCTCAAACAGTAAGGCCCGTGCTCCAAACACCCATACACCCCTCCCCTAAACAATCACCTACAGTATGAAGACGACCTTGAGGAGCTGGTAATTCCAGAGCCTCAGCTCTTCATTGCTCCTGGGTTCCTCCTCCAGTGTCTCTTCCTCACAGATAGCATTTTCTGCAATAAGAGAGCAGTTACTCATCTTCCTGGGACAGTAGGACCCCAGCTCAGCATGGGACATGCCAACCTCCTGCCATTCTCTGAAGCTGCTTGGGCTCTTGGCTTTCCCTTATGGATTTGGAGAAAGAAACAGCTCTCAGAAGCCCCATTGGCAGTGATGTCCCCTTTTCACAGAAATGAGAGGAGAAGAAGCCTGGTCTTTGCATGGGATAAGACCCCTGAACTCACCAGACCCTGGAGGTTTCCTGGAGGAGAAGGAGCTGTCTGGGGAGTCCATGGATGCTGGAGGGATACAAGGGATACTGCCTGGGAGGGACAGGGACCCGGAGGCAGGGCATATTTTTCTCCACTTCATCTCAGGGATGAGGACTTCCTGAAGAAAAAGCAGAAGCTGTCTCACCACGGTCCTTGGGATCTTATTTGCACTAAGGTGCCTCCACCACTTTATCAAAGATTTCTCTATATATTACCAACATAGATACCTAGCAAGGCATGGAAGCAGGTACACTGGAAGGGGGAAACCATTGCCCTAGCAATCACGTGTCTCTCCTATCTGCTTCTTTGCTGTAATCAACTACTCTTCTAGGAACAATGTCTTTGAAGACTGTTAGTGTAGATCCAAGACATGAGATCCAAGATATAAGTCCACTGAAGTATATGGCCAGGTCAGTTGAGTCTGAGAAAGCCCAGCACAACCTAACTTAGATGGGATAAGTCATGACTTCTAATGTGGGCTGTAAGTCTAAGCGTGCCACCGATCTTGACAGTGGGCACTTAAGGTCCCCATCAACAAAAATGGAAACATCATCTTCTATCTCCCTGCATGGTATTGTGCATATTTGCCTGACTGCTATAGTTACTGAAAAAGGCTTCAAACACTCTGGGGCCATTTTCACCCCATTCCTGCTCTAGAAACTCAGCTCTACTTACCCTGAACCCCAGTTGCCAAAGGAAACTGCTGGGACCTCAGCAAATCTAAAATAAGTCTGTCTGGATTCTACATTAGTAGCCTTTGAAGTTCTTCCCCAGGGACATCTCTATTCCCTTAAAGGTACTCCTGACTTTGTGAAAGGAAGAGGATGGGTCACTGGCTCCATGCCTGTACAGTGTGAGATTCAACCTGGACACTGTTCTGGGACCTAGACATTTGTTCTGCTCATAAAATCAGCACATCTGCCAGGACCTGGTGGCTCTGCATGATTGGAGTGTGGCAGGTCTAGGAGAACCTTTTCAGTATGACTGCTGGCTCTTGATCCTGTGCCTTAGTTCTACATTGTGGGCCCTGCTGGGAGGCTCTGAAGGCTTAGAACCACAGGCAATCTCAAGCCAGCAGCTTTTGCTCCCAGCCTCAGCTCTCACCAGAGACTCGCACTCAGGTTCCTCTGAAAATTCTCTTACACTCAGACTCTTCTTGCTGGAAGGCTGAGGAGGAAAGGGAACAGAAGTTATTTGTCCATCTGAAATAGCAAAGATGAGGTGTAGGGAAGCATTACCTCCATTTTGGATGAGATGGAGCCCAGCTCCCATAGTTTGCAAGGATGCCCTATCGAATGCTGGAGCAGAGGGTCAAGTCTAAGGCAACCTACACTCCCCTGCTGCTGCTCCTTCCCCTTTCTTACCATAGGCCAGAGAGAGCTATAGGCATCCTGGGAAGCAGTCCCATTGCTCCTGACTGTCTTTCTATACACAGAAGAAGCACAAGTGAGGGAATCTACATGGGGACATACGAAGGTCACTGGCCTCAAAGACACATGTTCATAAATACAGTCACACAGTCCAAGGACTGCCTTTGATACACCCAGCCTGAGCCTGTTACTCCCCTCTCACTGCCCCTATTCCCTGTGCTAAAGAAATGGGTTACCTTCCCCAATGGCCTTGTCCAGGCCTGAGCAGCCTCCCTGGCCTGACTCCTGCCCCTAAGCTCCATACCTGTAGGTGAATGCAGACCCTCCTCAGCATGTCATATACATTGTCCTGGGATAGCAGTGACACAAATATATACTAGGACATAGAAAACAAAGGGGTGGGGTGAGTAAAGATGTGAGAGTGTGTGATTCAGGCTGTGGGCTCCTGAGGCTGCGATGGGGAGACTAACAAGAGAGTGTGGCTCAGAGACTTACTGACCTTCTGGCTAGTGTTGGTGGTGATGGCCAGGCCATTGGGAAGGAGTCGTGCCATCTTGTGTTTTTTGACCATTTGCACAGACACCACAGGAATGACCACCTGAGGGAGGAGTGGCATGTTTTTTTTCAGAACTCATTCCCAAGGACATGGTCCCTTTGCTTCCAGAATAGGGCCCCAGCTCCAGCTTGCAGTGAGCCTGTTACGCCCAGACTTTGTGATCCCCAAGGTCCACCAGGGAGCCGAGTCCGATGCAATAAACAAAAGAGCCTTTTCCATGCTAGCATGGGCTCTGTCCCACTCACACCGGCAGCATGGCGGAAGAGAGCGAATTTTGCCCAGTCCAGGGGTTTTACTCCGGTCGGTGGTGATGTCACTGCCTCGGCTAACTCTGATTGGTTGGGTGAGGGCTAGGGTTCAATTACAGAATAGAGGATAACTCCGCCCTGCCCTCTCATTCCCCCCCTTGTCTAATGTGCCTAGTCAAATCATTGACTCAGCCTATTTCCTTTCAGCATAAACAACAAATACAGTTACGAAGACCCTTAATACCACAGTTCCCATCAGTATTGTCCTCACTGAAGTCCAGTTCCCCTCCTGAAGGCATTAGTTCTCCTCCTGGCCTGTAGTTGCCAGGATCCAGGCCATGCAGGAGCTGGGTGTCATGTAGTCAGGTCTGGGTGCCATCTACTTCAACACCAGGATAACAGTGCTCAGGATAACAGTGCAGCATCCCTTTGAGTCCTTGGGCAGTGAATTTCTTTACCCACATTGAGTTCCGGGGTTACAGGGTCTTCGGTGGGCACTGGCAGTGCATCTGGAACAAGCAAACTGCAGAGCCAGTAAGGACTTGAGCAAGGGAATGGTTACCATACATGATCTCCTCCCAAAAAAAGGGGAAACTTGTCCCAGTAAGGGGTACACTTGGACTCTTCACTGTGAGGACCCAGGTTCTGGGGCTTCCCAACAGACCTTACTCAAAGTAGTAGACAAAGGACAGGGGGTTGGTCCAATTTTCACTGATTCTAGGACACATTTAGCTAAACCTTTTTTCCAGAGTCTCACTTTATCTGTCTTAAGGCTAGAGCTATACTCTGAGATACATTAGCTACCAAGGTGGGGCTGTTATCTGATACTGGAAGCCCAAATCTAGGTATAATCTCCTGGAATAATCTCTTGACTATTATAGAGGTAGTTTCCATTCCAGTGGGGTATATTTCAATCTAATCTGAAGTGTCTACAAAAACTAGACCTTAATGCTGGTGGCTTAATCTCTGAAATCACCTACCAATGCTCTCCTGGGGAAGTTCCCTGGGACCCGAATTCCCAGGGGGACCCCTTTACCTTGCTTAGCATTTACCTGTGCACAGACAGTACTTCTAGCAACTCTGCCTCACAGAAGTTCAGAAGTTTTGGTGACACTTAACCTGGTGTCACTGGGCACTCTGACCTAGAGCCTATGGGACCAACAGTCTTGTCATCTGGAGGGTCCACCAATCATCTGGTCTGTCAGGGGCTTGCTTCTGTTCAGCTGATTCCTTCCGACTGCAGTTGGTAACCCTCTTTTCTCTGTGGATGGCATAGTGTCTCCATCAAAGGGCCTGGATTAAGGCCAAAAGTTCTGGAGCTGTGCCCAAATGATGTGGTCCAGGGTGACTACCACTGCCAAGCCAATCACGGGCACCATGGAGAAGCCTGGACCCACGTGGGAGAGTGTGAACCTCCCCCTTCCCATACACGTTCCCCTTCCAGTTACCTACACCGTGCCCAGCCTTGGCAGCACATGTCACTCCAGACTTTCACCCTCTTACCCAAGGATGACTGTTCTGTTAAATTCTGTACTGTAATAATGGAGTTCCCTGAGCTATGTCCTGACCACATCTACATCACACACTTATTCTAATGGCATTTCAGACGCAGAATAATTTGTCTATGAACTGTTCAGGCCAACTCAGGCCCGATGTAGAGTCTAGACCCAGGGCCTCTGTTTTGGAAGGGTTTACACTGACACCAGGTGAGATGCCTCTTAACTGTTCATCCAACCATGAGAGGCCTCACCAGCATGCAGGAGGACAGGTATGACTCAAGGCATGCCCGCAGGGTAGGGGTTTCTCTCTTTCCTGGGCTGGGGCAGGGATCTCACTGGACTGTGGCAGCCCTACCACTCATTACTACCATAATATCCTTGCCAAAGAGACTGGCAATGAAGCAGAGCCAGTTGGGGGAGATATAGAACCAGCCCTGAAGAAGGAGATCCCTCTGGAGAGCACAGGAACACACTGGGAAGTCACAAAAGACAAGACTACTATGAGTAAGGTCTGTTGGGAAGCCCCAGGGCCTGGGTCCTCACAGTGAAGAGTCCAGAGTCTAGCCTCAGGAACTCTTTCTTCTTAGAACCCAACTTCCCAAATAACCCATCCTCCAGTACCCCAATAGTCCTTTCCTGAGATTCCTAACTGCCCCAACTCCATCCCAGCAGACTGTTAGATGTTTTCTCTTTATCCATCTATGTAGCAAATATTAGGTCTAGTAATAATTAATGTCGTTTTCTAATACTTTTTTTTTTAAATCGAATTTATTTAAACAATACAACAAAATTTAATCAACAATATAGTTGCCGTTGTTTTCTACTACTTGTGCCCAACGCTCAGGAAGCATTTTAATCCCTCTGTTGTAAAATTCTTGTGATTTTGATGCAAAAAAATTCGGTCAATGCATTTTTGAGGCATTCTTCATTATTAAATTTTTTTCCAAGAAGAAAGTTTTGCAAAGAACAAAACAAATGGTAATCAGAAGGGGCAATATCAGGAGAATATGCAGGTTGAGGGAGAACTTCCCATTCCAACTGGCGCAGTTTTTCAGCAGTGATTCTTGCAGTATGCGGTCGTGCGTTATCGTGGTGAAGAATTACGCCCTTCCGATTAATCAGTGCGGGTTCTTTTTCTCTTAAAGCTTGGGCTAACCTTTCCAATTGGGCACTATACACTGCACTTGTAATGGTTTGGTTAGATGGTAAAAGTTCATAATGAAGAATTCCTTTAAAATTCCACCAAACACACAACATCACTTTTTTCGCATGCAAGTCAGGTTTTGGCGTGGGCTGCGGAGCCTCATTTTTGTCCAACCATTGAGGCCGCCTTTTCAAATGAACATACAGCACCCATTTTTTCATCTCCGGTAACAATTTGCTCTAAAAACGGCAAACGGTTTTGACGAGAGAGGAGCGAACTGCAAATTGTGACTCTTTGATTACAGTTGTTGTCGGTCAACTCATGAGGAACCCATTTTCCAAACTTTTGGACTTTGCCAAGTGCACGCAATTGATTGGAAAGTGTTTTTAGTGAACAATTTAAAGTTGTCGCAAGCTCTTGTTGGGTAATTTGAGGATTTTGCACCAAAAGAGCTTGAAGAGCTTCTTGATCAAAATTGGACACACGGCCTCGACCACTCTTGTCATCTAACGAAAAATTTCCCTCGCGAAATTTCTCAAACCAACGCTGGCATTTTCTGGCGCTAACTGCATCTTGACCAAGAGCACTACAGATGTTTTTTGCAGCCTCACTTGCTTTTCTTCCTAATTGGAACTCATAAAGAATGCAGTGCCAATATGCTCTTCATCCGCCATCTTCTTAGCCCTAATTTTGCAACAAAAACCAAACCAAACACAAACTTTTTCAAGCAAAACTTGTTAATTGCACTTCACACGTTCTGTAGATACCACGTGTTTGAAGGTTATGTCAATACAAGTCAACGCCAAGCAAGATTTTAAACGAATGTTTTAAAACGACATTAATTATTACTAGACCCGATAATTCAGACAGGTTTCTTCACTGGTTCCACTCAAGCCTGGATTCTCACTCCCTCAGGCAGAATGCCCTGCCCTGCCCTTTCCTGCCTACAGAGAAGACCCTGATTGTGCAGTGAGAGGCCTGACAGGAAAGAATAATTACTGATAAGAACATAACAGAAATAATATTTGGAAGTCCTTTAGTTTCCTCAAGAAAACTTTCATAAATTCAACTCTATGTCCCAAACTAGTCCAGTCTTCTCACACTTTTGAAGAAAAAAGAACAAACCACATCCAAAGGGCAGCCAGTTCCCATTTCTAAATTGTGAGGACAGTACCTGGGCCTTAGGCACTACAGGCACCTGCCCAGGCATTCCAGGGACTCAGCTCACCTTTGAGAACCACCTCTTCCAAGGGGACATCCTTGAACAGCTTGTGGTATTGCTGGTTGTATTTATTTTGTAGTGTCTGCAAACACAAGGGCTTGGGCTGAGAAGTCCTGGGAGATCACAACACCAAAGGGGCCCTGCTCCAGCCACCAGGAAATACTGTCACAGGGCCTCCTGGAGACTGAGCATGAAGTCACTGGTAAATAGCCAGTGGGTGCAGAGGGCTGAGTTCCAAGCACAGCTTGACTCCTGGTAATTCTGGGTCCTAATAGACAGTCTGTGACTGGAGGGGAATGCACCACTCCCACCCAGGAGGGACACCACTCCGGTTTCCTGGTGGCCAAGGAACCAGCAGTCACTGAATTCAGGCAGCCCAGGGCCCCTTCCTTGCTGGGCAGTAAGAAATCAGCCTCCACACACCCTTTCTCTACTATATTTCTTTATCTCTTCGCCCTTCAAGTCTTCTGGCCAGTGCAAACTGCAAAGGAGACATTCCATTCTCTGGACAAGGCACCCTTGAGTCCTACCCATGGATCTTCAACGTCAGTTCTGCCCTGGCTTCAAGCCAGAAGCTTAGGGCAGAGATTGGAGAGGAGTACCCTAGAGGCCACAGCAGTGATAAGCACAGCAAGCAAATAGCTCGACCCTGGGGAAAGACACTCCTGGATGCACAAAGGGGGTGCACAAAGGGGTCTCAGTGGCCCCTCCTCCCAGAGAGCTGAGATCAGTGCCCACCTCCACTCCCCTCCCCTCCCAAGAGATTTGCTCAGCCTGAGCTTAGATCTTTCAGAGATGCGTAGGAGTCATCCACCCCTGGGTGTCAAAAACCCTTTCCTATTTCTCTGGCCAAGAGGTGAGCAGAGAAGCAGACCCAAGAATCAACGAACAGTAGGCACAAGGATGAGGATCAGTTTGGGGAGGGGGTGATATGGATGTGTCAGACTCAAGTTATGGGTCCTGACCATGGGCCATGATCCCAGCAGAATTGCCTCCTAGCAGTCTCCTGTTGGTGGCCTGGAGCTCTGTGATGAGGAGTTCGTCAGACTCACCTGACCTGAAGGAGGCTACCAGGCTGGGAGAAATGGGGTGGTGCTGAAATGTAAACCTTTGTCCTAGTCAAATTGGCCTGAGGACAGGTGAGCAGGGGAGGTGTCCTAGTCAAATTGGCCTGAGGACAGGTGAGCAGGGGAGAAGGCTGGTAACCTAAGCTGCCTGGACTCTGCTAGGTCCAAGTGCCCTGGATCAGGCCTGAGAGTGGGAGAAAGAGGCCCTGGGCAGCCTATACCAGACCTAACATCGTATCTCAGCCTTACAGTTCCATTTCTATCAGGTCACCACCCTCAATCCACATGCATATCAGACTTGGGGAAGGGAGCTCACCTGGAGTCCAGGGTTGTCTGAACCCTGTCTAGTTTCTCTGTGCAGAACAAGGGGCTCTTCAGAGAAGTCATCTTCCTATGCATCTGTTAGTTATTAGGAAGAAACGGGCCCACATCAGGAAGGGAGTTTTCACATGGACACTTTTCCCTACTAGTTCCACCATACCCAGGACAGCTTGCCTGTCACCCAAGACTGGCCCTGCTATTTAGGGTGAAGTTAAAGACAGAACCCCTGCCAGAGCTGCTGCAATGTCTAGAGGCAGCAGCTCTGGCAGGGGTTCTGTGCAACTGACTAGGTGGGAGTCTTACTAGTTGTCTTCTCTAGAAGCCTTATTACTAGGCCAGAAGAAAATCAGCCCTAGCCAATTTGGCTCAGTGGATAGAGTGTCGACCTGCAGACTGAAGGATCCCAGGTTCGATTCTAGTCGAGGGCATGTATCTTGGTTGTGGGCACATACCCAGTAGGGAATATGCAGGAGGCAGCTAATCAATGTTTCTCTCTCATCGATGTTTCTAACTCTCTATCCCTCTCCCTTCTTCTCTTTGGATTCCTTTTGTTTGGAGTTCTGTGCGCTTCCTGGACTTGTAAGTCTAATTCTTTCACCAGGTAGGGGAAGTTTTCTGTCACTATTTCTTTCTATATGTTTTTGGTATCTTGCTCTCTCTCTTCTTCTGGGACCCCCATAATTCTGATGTTGGTTTGCTTGAAGTTGTCCCAGAGGTTTCTTACACTATCTTCAACTTTCTGGATTCTCTTGTCTTCTAGCTTCTGCAGAGGAGTGTCCTCTGGCTCTTTGTGTTCCAAATCTTTGACTTGATTCTTGCAATCTTCCGGTCTGTTTTTAGGACTCTGTATAATATTTTTTATTTCAGACAATGTATTCTTTATTTCTAGTTGATCCCTTTTCATTTCTAGGTGATCTCTTTTCATATCCTCATAGGTCTTGTTTATTTTATTAGCCTTTTCTAGGAAATTCTTGAAAAACCTTATAGCCGTGGTATTGAACTCTATATCCAGTCACTTTTTGTCCTCCATTTCTTTCATTTGTGATCTGTTTCCTTGTCTCGGCATTTGGTGGGGTGGCTTCCCTGAATTGGTAGGGTGGCTTTGTGTGTTACGGTGCCCTATATGGTTCAGTGGGTCAGCCTCCCAGTTACCTGAGGTGCACCCCTTTGTGGACTGTGTGTACAGCCTTATTGTAGTTAAATCTTGATTGTTGTTGGTATCACTGGGAGGAACTGATCTCCAGACCAATTGGTTGTGAGGATCAGCTGTGTCTATGCCGGGAGACAGCCTTATTCGACTAGGCTTGGAAAACTGCAAAAGCCTCTGTGTTCAGCTTGGATGGGGCAGAGTTTCAGGGTGGAGCCTACAGGCTTGGCTTCCTTTCAACCCCACCTTATGAGGTTCCTGAGTCTGTGTTCCTCAGTGTCCTTTGGTACTTGCTGCAAGCATCTTTGAGAGAAAGGTGCCCTCAAGTTTCGCCCACTACCAGTCTATTCTCTCCCGCAATAAGCTCAGAACTGAGGTTCAATGTAGTTGGAAGTGGGGTTCAGTGCAGTCTGGAGCTTTTATCTCCTTCCCACTAGGGCAATCCAGTGGCACAGTCAACAGTCCGTCCTCTGCGTGCAATGTGCATGGCTCTGGGGCTCTGCCCTTCGCTGCTCCCCTGAGTTTCTGTCTTACAGCCTAGAATCCCTCTGTATGAACCTGGGTCCCCAGAGTCTCACCCAGAACTGGGGTTCAGTGCAGTCAGAACTGGGGTTCAGCATAGTTCAGAGCTTTTATCTCCTTCCTGCTAGGGAATGCCAGCCAGGCACTCAGCCGCCCCCTCCTCTCCAACTTCGTCCTCTCCCCACACGCTCACCGTGTCTCCGTATCTCAGGCTTTTACAGCTCCTCTGATTTTCCTTCTGGTTTTCTCTTTCCCTCTAGTTGTATAATTTCCAGTCAGTCAGTCAACTTTCCTGTAGTTCTGGATAATGTCCATTTTGTATTTTAGTTGTATTTTTTTGAAATTGTTGTGTGAGGCTGCAGTTAGGTGTTTACCTATGCCGCCATCTTGGTTTCTCTTTCAGGTATCAATCTCCTTCTTTTGCAAAAAAAAAAATAATCCTAATATTTCTTAGACAGGAGCTGCACTTACACATTGGCACAGAAGTTGCTCCTTGCTTTTTATTTTCTAAGCAGATATTCCGTATCTAGGACAACTGCTTTGCCCTTTCTGCTTACTAGAAAAGAGAGGAAATTTCATAATAGAATTCCATACTAAGTGGAAGGGGTGAGGATCAGGAAGTTTGAGGCTACATGCTTGGTCCCGATCCAGCTGTCCTACTCTTAACTCTGGTAAAGGACTCAGGGATAGGAGGTGTTCATCATAGTCACACCCATACTTCTCAGGAGCTGGTCCGAGAATACCTGGGCCAGGAAGGTGCTTTGTTTCCCTTTACTACCTTTGGCACTTTGAAATGAGGGAGATGTGGAGTGCCAGAGGGCCTGCTTCTCAAGACATTATTGTTTGTACCCAAGGACCCTGGCCATAGCCAACAGAGACACAGGTATGCTCCAGGCCCAAGCAAGCTGATCAACAACCTCTGTAGAGTCCTAACTGGGAAATATATGAAGCCAGAAGCAGTGAGCAGGTGTGCTGGAGCAGAATCTCTGGGTGCACCAGAGACTAGGTCTAGAGCATGGGAAATGGGAGCAGAGAGGAGCAGGGGGCCATGGGCCAAACCCCCAGGCTAGGGGCAGCAAAGATAGCCCACTCCCTGTGGCTGCCTATTGACCTTGCATTCTGCTTCCAGTGCCCTAGCACTTACAGCCAGACAAGAAAACCTGGTTTGCCCAAAGATGATAAACCAAGGCACACATGTGATGTCTTTAGGCAGGGTGAAGAATTGGAAGCTCAGCTGGGTTCAATGCCTTGCCCACACACAGTCATTGGCAAGGCCAGGACTCCATGGAGGTGTGTCTGACATCCAAGTTTGGGTCATACCATACCCTCCAAAAAGGCTTCAGGGCCAGAAAGGGGAGCAGACTCTCACTGAATACTCAAACTAAGTCAAGGCCTCTGAGCCCAAGGAGCCTCTGGGAGAGGGAGGAGACCAGATATGGCTCATGATTTCCTCTCATCCTCATTCTGCTCTAGTTCTACAAGGGAAATGGCATCATTCCCATAATACAAATGAGGAAACTGAGGCCTAGAGAGGTAAAGCATCTTGCTCCTGACTACATAACTAGAAAGTAATGGAGCTTAAATTCAAAATCCAGTCTGGCTGAAACTGTATACTCTTTCTAATGTGGCCCAAAGCCAGGAGGACTCGAGGGCCCTGGAATTCTGCCCTCTCTTACAGCTTTCTCTGTTGGCAGAGCCAGGCCCAGCTTTCCCCAAAAGCCCCAGTATAGAAGGATTGTAGGAAACAGAAGGAGGCCTTTTGGGCTGAAATGAATATGCAGGTGCCCTCTGGGGAGTGGAATTGCCTAAATCAGACTCCCTCTCCCAAGCTTTTCTTTATTCAAAGAACCAAACAAACTGGGAGGGCTAGTTGCTCAGGAGCAGATATGGGCTGGCCCAGCTCTCAGTGGGTGGCTGGATCCATCCAGAACAAGGACCCCTTTGAGCTCTGGTGCTAACAAGAACTCCTTTTACCTACAGGGATCTCAAAAATCCTATATTCTCCCATCCAGTGGAGCAGGCACGGCAAGAGCAAGGCAGGTCCCATCTCCCAAAACAATGCCCACTGCCCAGGGTTCCAAGTGGATCCTAGAGCTGCTCAGCCAAGCCCCTTCGCTACTTTGCTGACTGGACCAGTCTTGGTTAAAGGGCTCTAATTCCCATTTCTCCTACTTCCTCACCTTCCTCCCAGGCCTGGCTCTCTCAGCACCCCAAAAACTCTCAGTAGACAGAATTCAGAAGCAAATGCTCTGGCTTAGGCTTCCTCTGCACTAGGGAAGTATGCTAATGAGGTGCCCCTCCCAGCTCTGCCTGAGCCCTTCTTTGCTAACTTGATCCTGCCCAAGATGGAATCCCTCTTGTTCTCATCCCCCAGTATCTCTCCTTCCTGAAGCCTGGCTGGTCTGTACCTGAGGAAAAGCAGACTCTCCCTGCTAGCGTCTACACCCTCTATGCTCAGGCATCTTCCTTTGCTGCATTGCCTGTTTATATGGCTGTCTCCCACTAGACTCTGTATTCATCTATTTCCCCAGGGCCTCACACAGCTTCAAGCATACAGTAAGTGCTCAATAATTGAATAAACAAATGCCTCCTAATAAAAGGCTCTTCTGTGTTTATTCAGCAGCACTAGGGCTGAATAAGACCTGGAATGAGAGCAACCTACTCAAATTAGCTTCTGGCTTCATAAGACCAAACATAAGACCTGGAATGAGAGCAACCTACTTAAATTAGCTTTTGGCTTCCCCTGACCTTCTGGGTGGTACCCAGTCACCTCCCTCTGAGTTTGCTCCTCCTTGACCTACAGATCTTCAGGGCTGCTATGAGGATCTGAGAAGTCATGGCCCAGTCTCAGGGAGGAGCCAGTTCTCACAGTCTTGCCCACTGAACCTCACTCCCCCGGCCAGGACCACTGAGAGTCTATTTGGCCAAGTACATCATATCCTTTGAAGGGTGCGTAGAGGTGCAGCTCCCCAGGGGAAGCAGGGATGGAGGCACCACTAGGCTCTGAACTGCACCCCAAAGCTCCGTTCATGTCCTGCACAATTGAATCTTTCCCCTGGGACTATAACAAGAGAGAGCGGCTGGGAGCAGGGCCCTCTCTACATCTGGGCTGTACCCAGTGACTGCTTCCTTGGGGGGGGGGGGGGGGGGGCGGGGGGAGGGGATGTTTCTCTTTTTTCCATATCCCACATGGAAAAAGAAACAGAAATAGTCCTTTTGCTGAGTGGAGGAGCTGGGGATTAAGAAATTAAAGAAAGAAAAAGACAAGAGGCAGAAATAGATTTATAAAGCTGGGAGCTAGGTGGGCGCCATTCTCTCTGATGGAGAGGCAGCAAGCACCCGAGAGCCACGCAGCAGGTCTATTTTATAGGGTCAAATGAGCTTATTTACATTCTTAACTAGGCCCTAG